TCTCCTCCTCCTCCTCCTCCTCCTCCTCCTCCTCCTCCTCCTCAGCAAGATTTTCTTAGAACTGTATTTTAACTTTTGCTATTTTTTTGTTTGTAAAAATATTTTGTCGTTTTTTTCCTGGACAGCATCTTTGTGCACAGACTGGTGTTTCTTTAATTTTTTATATTTTTTTAAAATAACGGCTTTACAATCTGAACTGTTCTGGATTTGGTCAAGTTTTCTCTGTGGGAAAGGTTAGTACTTTCAAGACTTTTGCTCTTGTGGTGACCTACAATGTATTGAAAGGTATGCTGAGCTGAGTGGTTGGCGGGTGCTCTTGTGTGGTTTGCTTCTTCTTTCCTATCAAACATCTATCGTCCTTATCTCCCCTTTTTTTTTTTATGTTTGTTACTCTCTTGTAACACCTCTAATCTTCTGATGCTCATATGACCTTATGCAGTTGCGAGCGCAGTAAAACCTCTACTAAAACTAAACCAAAAGAAAAAAAAGTTTGCTCTTGTCCGAGACTCCACAACTGGGAGATATTAAGATAAAAGAATTTTATTGTCTTTATTCAAGGTGCATGATTCCCATAGCTGTACTTACCCTAAAGTTCTTGCTTCGTTTTTTTTCTTTCTTAGAAGACTGAAAAGAGATGATATCCATCATAAGCTCTTGCTCTTTTAATGATGACACTAAAATTTTTGATTGAGCATACTTTTTATGGAAGCATGTTGCTGTTGTTTTTTTTATGTCATATGTTAGTCTTCTCTCTTTGTGTGCAATCTGTGAGCTTTTATTGGCTTCTATTTAGCATGTGGTAAATGTCTAGTTATGTTTTAACTAAGAGAATGCTTTGCACAACTAAATCCTTTTGTTGTTGTCATCAATCCAGGGCTACATCCTTTTAGAAATGGACATTGAGATTATTAGCCAGACATCTTTGTAGCATCAAGAGCTGCTTTGAATGTAGACAAAATAAATGTTAGTAAAAAATGTTGATGTGATTGAAGCCCTTTTGTATGTGATATCTCGAAGCATTTCCTTCCAAAGGGGGGACATTTCTCGTTCTTATGCACAGTAGAATTGTAAATGGGCTGATTCATCTATGTCATGCTCATAACTGTGCCTGAACTACAACAGGGAACTGCTGCTTTTTCTTTCCTAGTCTTTACTATCTTCATTTTCCTCTACTTCTTTTATATGTTTGTCACACTCTTGTGACCCACTGTTTCTGGGGTGCCTTGAAAGTCGAAACAGACTTTGCGCTGTTGAAGCTAGGGAGGTGAGCAGAGTAAGCCCGATTCCCTGTAAGGACTTCTCTGTTGACATCCACCCCCTTGGCACTCATATGACCTTATGCAGTTGCGAGCACAGTAAAACCTCTACTAAAACTAACTATACATTTCCTTCCTCTCCAAAACGGAACCGTAACCCATTTTCTCTCTCCTGTCGGACAGGTATGATAGAGGGTATTGTGGACAAGCTTCACTCCAACTTCCAGAAGCAGACTGGAGCCTTCCAAGAGCTGCTTCAGCAACGTCTCCTTCGCCTCAAGATGGCGCTGTACTCTTGCCAGGTGCCAAACACTCAGCGAGCATCCGACTGCCGCGCCATGACGACGCTACATGCCATCGCTGCTGTGCTCAAGTCGTGTCTCCGGCCCAAAAACATCACAGCACAAGACAAGGTGGGACAGGGTCGTGTGCTGAGGGGGTTGCAAAAAACAAGCCGGGAAGATGCTATCGGATTAGGCTTTGTGGTGGTGGTGGTGGCAACATCTCCTGCAGTAGAATAAATAATTTGGAGAAGGGGTGTGCTTAACCTGAGAAAAGGGTCCACATGTGCAATTTATTACTTTTTGTAGCTTGTTGTTGCTACCTCTCGTACTTCTAAATCTGTGAAATTGTTAAATTGATAATGTTACCAATCCCAAATGGACACATATTTTCTGGAGAATGTCAGTGGATTTTTATAGTGTTGAAGACCTACAATATCCTTTCATGGATGGACTGTGCAATGACTCTGTGAATGCTCAGGTAAACTGGGAAAGACATAATTCAAACACCTTATTTTGGGGATTATAAAAACCTGTTCATTCCTACAGGTACTTTTAAATGATTATCAAAATGTTGTAAGATCAGGAGAAATATTTGTGTCAGCTGCTCACCTCTAGAATTGTTTAATATTACTGCGACTGCATTTTCTCTTTTGAAGTTCACTTACTTCTCTCAAGATAATTGTTGGTCTTCTGTTGTCGTTTATAAATCTATTTATGGTCTTTCTTTGAAGTTCAGTTAGGGCCATATTTCTGCCGTGGATGATATTCCTGTGTTCTACATAATATATACTAGTCTGCTAATGTTGAGATCATCTTAACTGGGATGTTAAAAAAATACCATTGTCTTTATCGAATTCTGTTTTATTTTTGTCATGCCATTTTAAGTGAAGAATTCGTGAGCTTTAATATGCTTTTTTTTAGTTTTAGTAAGTGTTTTATGACACCGCAACACAATAAGGTCATATAAATGCCGAAGATTAGAGGTGTTACAAGAGAGTAACAAACTCCAAAAAGAAGGAGGGGAGATAGAGACGATAGATTTTTTATACACCAGAGCACCCGCCAACAACCCACCATTAATATGCAATAATAAAAGGTAGTGGCCATTTGCAAAGAAGGTTAGGTTGTTCTGTTTGTTTCCCTTATCTCCTTGTGCATTTTGTAAGAGAACTTGCCTCTTTTATGGAATTAGTTGCGCCCCTGACCAGCACACGGGAAAAGAATATTTAAATTTGAATGGAGTCCTCAAGTGTCATATCTTTTGTTGCATACTTTCCCTACAGCATAATCTGCAACGAGGAGCGGTTCTATGTGTTTGAAATTTAGTCATCTGTTTTAGTCAAACATCTGTCTTTCAAGCAAAATTAAAGAAATTGATAAGAGAAACCCACCTATTTCTGATTGCTTGGTGGGTGGTTAGCGAGTGCTCTGGTGTGGTTTGCTCCGTCTTTCCTGTAAAAAAATCTATTGTCTTTTTCTCCCCTCCTTTTTTGTGTTTGTTATTCTCTTGTAACACCTCTAATCTTCGGCACTTATATGACCTTATTGTGTTGCAAGTGCCGTAGAACTCTTACTAAAACGAAAACTGATTGCTTGTTTTTCCCAATGTTGCTCCTCTAAAATGTCTACAGTCCCCTGCTGAGAAACTGTCCAACCTGTGCTCTTTGTCAATGGAGATGGAGCTGGACCAGATGACCAAAGCTCTGGAGCCTGATGATCTGATGCGAGACACATTCAGGACTACCTCAGGCTCACAGAGTACCCAGTGTAAGGATTAGGACATCTGTTGCGACTTGATTTTGTTACTTTTAGTTGGAATAGTAACAGTGTTCTTGTTAATGAAAACATTATGGAAAACACACTGAATGTAAAACCTCTAATAATAATTATTGGTAGAGATACCCGAAATAGCTATTGTGATAATAGTTTTTTATTTGGGCTACTTTGTTTGCAAATTGTTTTTGAGTTAATGGGCCATTACTAACATATTGTGCAGATTGTTTAAAATTAAATCTGTGCCTGTCTTTCAGGGCAGATAGTAAAAAGTTGTTTTCTACTGCCCAGTCCTTTAGTGTCCATTTAACTGGGAACTCTAGTAAAATTCAACCTGACCTCCGTGAATGCCTCTCTGTTCTTGTTGTGTGGATAGTATAGTAGTTAGGCTACCGGACTCGTAATCGACATTGTCCTTGGGAAAGGCACTTACATGAATTTTACTCACTTCACCCAGGTGGGAATGAGTACCGTGCAATAGACAGCAAAAGATCTTGTCAGAATGTTAGTGTTTTAGCACCTATTAATGACAGCTTGCGCTGTATGCTTGTTTCAAAATGATATCAGGTCTGCTGGGGTAATAGTATAGATTGTAAAGCGCTCACAGCTTGAGGTTGAGCGGGAATTTACACTGTACAAATCTTATTCTTGTTCAGCGTCCTTGCAGTCCCTCCAGCCATTCGTCCAGTGGGTCACTGACTTTGTGCTGCACATACTGGCCGCCGTGTCCATGTACCCAAACTACTCATCTTACCCAGGGGCTACACTGCTCAAAGATCCACAGGTAAGTCGAGTCACAGACCTTGTTCTTAACCCCTTCTATACTGCTGGTAAATAGGCCCCTGTGCCGGGGGAAATCCCATGAACCAAGGCTGCTTAGGGGTGACCCCTCTCTACTTCCCATAGCTTTTTTATTTATGAATATTTTACGAAATTTATAAATTTCTGCATGTACATTCTACATTGAACCAGGTTTCTATTGATCTGATTTTGGGGGAATTTCATTGAGAGATAGATGGAGAAAAGTTGGAGTTAGTAACATGATGCCAAAAGCAACTCCACCAAATAACATAAACAACACACATTCAAGTAACGATAAACTGATACCAAAAAAAGGGAATACGTGTTGTGGGACTGTTTGCAGGTAAAGAACAAGTGACTAGAGGTTTTTCCTACCTGATACAACTCTCATATAATCCATAAATTATATACATCTGTGTTTACTGCCAGAAATCATTTTTGATCAGTGGATATGTATATCTAGATCTAATCTTCTTTTTGACCTAAAGTCTTAATCTGTGGCTTTCAGATATGGAGCGGAAATGGAGGTAAACATAAAGGGAAAGTACCTCAATAATGATTACAAGATTTTAGCAGTAACTTCCCTTATAATTGGGGTCAAAACATCCTCTGTCACAGTCCCGTAAATTCTACGGGCCATAGCACAACACTGCACAGTTCAGGCCCGTAAATTCTACGGGCGTGGCAGCGAAGATGTCAAGCAGATCTTTACTGTTGTTTTCTACAGTACAAGAACAATGGCTTAGGGTCTTTACATATAGAGCAAAGGCTTGAATTTGTGTAATATTTTTCCAGTCACCGTGTAATAAACTTCAGTTTGAAAGAATGCAAAAAATGAACTCCCTTTTGTGGAATGTGTGAACTTGTGCCCTCTCTTCATTAGCTGAATGACTTGACTTTCTTTGTGGAGTTTAGCTCATTCTTTCCTATCATCAAGCAGCTATTGTGGGTGTTTGGTGGGTGCTCTGGTGTAGATGTAAAAAATCTATTGTCTCTATCTCCTCCCCTCCTTCTTTTCTGTGTTTGTTACTCTCTTGTAACACCTCTAATCTTCCGCTTCTGTATGACCTTATTGTGTTGCAAGTGCCGTAAAATTCTTGCTAAAAAAAGCAAACAGCTATTGTCTTTTTCTCTCCCCATTTGATGCCATTGTATGTTGCTCTCTAGTGACTAGTCTAATTTCCGGCACTTAAATACGTCTTATTTGTGTTGCAAGTGCCATGAAACTCTTCTTAAAACTTTTCTTCATATATGTCTCTAATTTTCAGCACTTAAATGCAGTTTATTTGTGTTGCTAAAGCAGTAAAACTTGTCCGTGGAAACTATAAAGAACCTCCCGAAAACTTAAAGAGACTGTTTCCTTTGTGTGCAGGTGTTATGCCTGGTGCGTGAGCTGCTCATTATTATCCGAGCCTGGGGCAAAGTCAGCTCTGCCTGCCTGCCAGTATTTATGACCACCGTGACCCTCGACCCATTGCCGCACCTGTTCCGGCTCATCACAAAGGCGTGGCTGATGGCCCGAGACAACAGCAACATTGAGTCTGACCAGACTTTTGTGGATGAGTGCTGTAATTTGCCCAGCAAGGTGAGACACAGACTTAAAGGGGGGG